CTCACCAACCTCCAAGCTAATCACCTCTGCAACCGACACAACCAATTAGTATCTAGCCCAAGCAGTTGCTTAGAGTGGTGGGCCCGCCCAGTGGGGGCCCGAGCTATGACCCGAAAACTGGACGACGAGGATCACCGAAGGGGATAAGCTCAAATGGGGACGCATCGACCCACAATCGCCAATTCATCGTCCATCGGGGCCCGATAGCCCCCCCCCCGCCCGCGAACGTCCAGTTTCGCGGTCGTGAGCCTATCGCCGATCCATCGGGGATGCACCGCCGAATCGAGCTCCGTGTTCCCCCCCGCAGGGGCGCGGCCCCTGCCGGGCCTGGAGCTCTCGGGCATCCGCCCGTTCGGAAAAAGAGCGAGGCGGCCAGCCCTTCGCCATCGGAGGCCTTCGAGGGCCGGCCTCGGGCCCCGGGGGCCGGCAGAGAACGGCTGCAGCATGAAGAGCCCGCCCCGGGGAAAATTCGGCCTCGCACAGGGGTGTGTGTGTGCGGGGGGAGGTGGGAAGGCGTCTCAGGAGCCCCCCGGCTTCTCAGAAGGCGTGAGCCTGGTCTATACATGTAAGGCCCGCGCTGTGGGACCCAAGTCTACAAGACCGACGACCCGCTGTTCGCCGACACGGGGGGCGGAAGAAGTCTTGGGACGACGACGTTGCTTCATGTCTACACTCCGACACAGACGCAGACAGCGATGCGCAGTGGTTGGAACTCGCCCAAAATCGACAATGGTGGGACAATCGAGGAGAGCACTTCCTACACTATATGCGTTGTTTTATCCACTCCAGCCACTACCCTTGAACACAGCGACATTAGGTAGTGTCTCTCCGACTCCTGCTCCTGTCGCCAGGCCCTCCTATCTTCCGACTCCGGTACCTATCCTCCCGACTCCTGTTGACGTCTCTCCGACTCCAGCTCTTACCCCCCACGACTCTAGTATCGTAGAGCACTTGTCCGATTTCCGCGCCTATCTTTCCGACTCCGGCGATCGTTTCTCCGACACCGGAACATCCCGGAGAGTTGGAAGACGCTCGGCCCGTCCAGATCGTTATCCGACGACAGCTGCACTGGCAACACGTACGGCGAAACAGGGGTGGACAAATCTTGCCCCCCACCTAAAAAATTCACGGAGAAGGTCGATCGAACGAGCTGTGCTACATCCGTATCTGAACACAGCCTGGAAACAATCAAGTATATGTCTGCCCATTCTCTTCTACTGCCCATTCTCTTCTACTGGCTACGCGAAGAATGAGGAGTAGGATAGCTCCCGCCCAGAGGGGGCAAACTCGTTACGTGACCCTGTCTGCTAAACCTCAACAGAGCTACGAGGATGGGCTGACATCACCCAGAATCACATCACCTGCAAGCCCCCGACCCACGCTCCTGCTCGCCGATCGCTCCTCCGACGCCGACTCCGACTCCTGCTCGCAACACGCGAGAGCCCCGGCCCCCCCCGCGCTGCCCTCGTAGGGCTGGTCCCGCCGGACCGACATCGCGGCTCGCCTCGCCTCGCCTGCCCCCCTCTGCTGCGCGGCGCCAAGAAGCGGCCTGGGGGCGCCCACGTCTCGAAGAGATCGAGCCGGCGGGTGTCTGGGCTCCCCGCGCCCCGAGCCCGAGCAGAGGTCGGCGTGACATGGGCCCGGCCCCGAGCCGAGAGGCGGAGAGGCTGCGGCACATCCCGGTGCCCGCCCGTGGGGTGCGGCTCGCCCCGAGTCGGGCATCGCCGCGAAGGCCAGGCCACGGTGGGACGCCGGTGGGCCTCCCGCCGAAGGTCGGTGCACCGCGCCAGTCCTCCCTTGCCACTCTCTCGTCTCGGGCCGGTCTAAAGGAAGGGCTGGAAAATGGGGTGGGTACGAAATTTGTTGCATGCAGTCGGTTTCGGCCTCGCCGCCAGGCGCTGTCCTCGATACATTGGCGCACACGGCGCCGGGAGGCGCCAGAAAGACAGCTTCGTGAGCTGATTCGCTACCTGGCCATTTGGTATCCCGCCACTTTCGTCCGCCCCGATCGCCCCTCTGATGTGGTCTCAGTGTGATGGGAGGACCCCATGATGAAGCACAAGAGGTCCGTGCGGAAGAAGCGCGACGAGGCAACGGAGGATTGCAGAGACACGCCCGCCCCTGCAAGCAGTTCAAATCGATTGCAGATGCGCGGCCGCCATGGAGGAGAGAGGAGGGGATCGAGAGAGGAGGAGCGGGGTAGAGTGGCGCAATTGGAGGTTTGATGTGCGTTTACGGTTCGCCTGACAGGCGTTCCAGCTTCATTTCACGTTGGATTCGCATCTATGATTCTACAATTGCAAATCTCGTTCTGCGTCCTCCGCGGACGGTGGCTTAAGAATTGAAGCAAGCAGCGCATGTGGGAGGGTGGAGGAGTGGTGAGCATGGGCATTCGCGATACGATCGAAATTCAGCTGGAGATCAAGTCCTTGCAACAATTTTGCGACCCCCAATGTACAAAACGATGTACCACACGTCGTAATATTGAACATACGATCAGAGGTCCCAGGAAACATGTAATCTGAGGGCATGCCTCTTACGAGCCTCCAGGGCTCCGCTGCACAATCTCGATGTTGCCTATTGGGCATGACGAATCGCTGGTGCGTTCGGAAGAAATAGCATAAGCATGCATATTGAGTGTTATCGGTCTTCGTTGCGCATCATGACAGATGGCATGAGTCATGTTTCTGTGTCGCAGGATACACGAAATTGTGGCGGGCAATCTCTATCGGCTCTCAAACGAATGGACTACCTTCGTTAGAGGATGGCTCCGAAGTGCGCCATAGGTTTGTGAAGCTAGGATTTGGCCGTCCTCCACCATGCAGCAGGAATGTATATCTACATTCAAAATTGAGACAGACGCGACCCATTCTTACACTCAATTTGCGCTGGGGCGTGGCTCGGACATCCCATGCGAACATACGTGTTGTACACTCATAAATGAACGTTACACACCGATATGACTTGCTCTCAGTATATACACTCAACACGCACCCTAAGCACACCTACCGCGCATACGTTCTAGGAAATGACCGCACAGCCTCGACGTACACCGTGAGCCTTGTTTATCCAGAAGCATGTCCCAGTGATGTACATGTCTGGTGGACTGGTCGATGATGCGAGTTGGCTCATTGTTGAAAGAGATGCGTATCTCAACACATTTCGAAGATAGCAGGATCGCCCGACATATTTATTCCGACGCGTTTCATCTCGATGTATTTCCACTTTCTTCCGATGTCTGATCTATGCATATTGGCTGCTTGCAAGCTGTTCACCACTTTCTAGTGCGCGTTGTTGTAAGACCCCACCGAAGTTGCGCGCACGTGGTTCTATTTTTTATGCTGGCACGCTCCTCACTTTTTTTATCGGCGGCGCCAGCGGACGCGGGCGCGGGTGTCGCTAACTGCACGACGTGGTGGGTGTGGGCGCTAGGAAAAGAAGGGGGCGGCCGCGGAGGAGGCGGGAAGGACCCAACCGCCGAGAGTCGGCGAGTGAGCAGCGCGCAGGCGGCTTCAGGCACCGAAGAAGGTGTAGAGCAAGAGGCTGAATCGCACGCTCATCACACGGATTCGTGTCCCAAAGGGAGTTCTCATTACGTCCCCAGTCAGGTTCGGTTGTGCGCATGCGGCCCCCGCCTCAGGTACGGAAAGAATGGGCACGAAGAGTGACAGCAGTTCTTGTCCATTCTGAGCCGGGTTCGCTGTCCGTGCTGCCGCGGGCGTTGTCCATCGGAGACAGAAGGCCGCCTGCCCAACAGCGGCCGTTGTCGATTTGGAACAACGTTTGCTGTTGGGCATCGTACCCATGTTCTCCGTACCCATCTGGGCGTGCCGATATGAGGAGAGGGTCATTCCTGGCGATGCACGCCGATGCAGTGGGTTGGTCCCTTCGCTGGGGTATTTTTTCCACTGCGCCTCCAGGTTCCCAACACCGCTGCAAGCGGATTCCACTTCGAGATTGAGCCTCAGACAGCATTCAGCCACGGGTCGCGCAGCGCGTGTCCGTCGAGTGCGTTTGTCCGCGGTAGCGCTTGCAGGAGCTCATGGCCTCCTTCGAGAAGGTTGGTCGCCTCGCCTTGCAGCCCATGTCAGAAATTAGAAGATCATCCCAGCAGCTCTTCTGATGATACCATTCGTTGATGTTTTGCCGGTATGTCTCAAGGCCACAGTTCCGGCAAATGAATGCCATCGGGGTGTCACCCTCGTTGTTTTGATGTTCTCGTCAGGCTGCAGCTGCTGACAAGCGCCCCAACCACTCCAAGACAGCCGAGATCGTCGACATTGCTTTGGGTTCCGAACTGGTTCTTCCACTATCTTCCCCCAGAGAAGTGATTCGGCAGGGTGCGATTGGAAATCGATTGGCACACACTTTCTGAACCTAGTGGATTTTCAGCGCCACATCATCTTACCGCAGGTTGATGCCGCGTTGACGCGGCGGCGACCCAAGCGCGGGTTTTCAAGGTTGAACGCCGCCAGTAGTTCAGAATCGGCCGTTATCGAACAATCGGCGCCATCGGATAGCCGCGACCATTCAAGATTGAACGATCCACACAGTGTCGCAGAAACCAACGCCGACGCCATCGCGGCCTGAATTTGCCGCACTCGTTGCGCTTCACGGGGTCAGTCTGTCTGGTCCGTTCCGTGGTCGATCTGGTCCGTTCCACTGAACCGGCGAGCAAAAAAAACGATGTCGCCCTCGCCGGCGGAAGTTCGGCAGCGGGCCTGGGCCTTGGGCGCGGAAGGAGAGGGCACTCTGGCCGACGTCGTAGTGTCCCGGGTCTTCCGCGTTGATCTCACGGCGGTTGTTCCCACGTAGTCATGAAGAAAAGGCGTCTTGAGGTTGTTCGCCGTTTTCGGCCTCTCGGAGACCTCAATTGGCCCCAGGACCTTCAAAAAATACTCATCATGAAAAGCTGATCCCCGGTGAAGCCCCGACCCCTCCGTTCTTAACTCAAGCCGTTTCGGTTCAAACAAATTGGGTTCAATGCAAGGCACCTTCCGATGGTCTCGAGAAAGCGCTGTTTCCCTCGAAGCGTCAATCAAGAAGTGCGGTTGGACAAATCAATGGAACGCAGCATTGCAGTTGCTCCGAGATGGAATTCGATTGGGTGTGAGACTCTTCCCAGGCCACTACTTTGCTGCTGCCGGCGCATGCAGAAAAAGCGGTCAATGGCAACAGGCTTTGTCGGTGCTCAGCGAACTGTGGGAGGCAAAGACGGAGCCCAATGTCATCTTCTACACCCTATCATCCAGGTACCACCGCGTGCCTGAAAGAGCGGGCACGAAGACGCCCTGAGACAGCCCAGAGGAGCCCTCTGCGAGCCCAAGCGGCCCAGGAGAGGCCCAGAGAAGCGCCCACGACAAGGTGTTTCCGCGCAGGGCCCCCAAGAGCCCAGGAAGAAGGCCGAAGACGCCCCCAAGCCAGCCAAAAATGGCCCAGGCTGGCATCCCGCATCACCCCAAAGTGGTGGCAACGCGGCTACAAGACGGCCCCAGGCCCTGGGATATCCCCGAGACAATTACAGACAGTTCCCAGGGTCCTGCGAAGCCCTCAGGAAAACCCAGGATGGACCGGAGAGACCCCACGAGAGCGCAACAAGCGCATAGCTTGGACGCCAAGGGTACTCCGAGATGGCCCTCTTCTAAGTTCCAAGGTGAGCCCTAGGATATATGGTCCAGGGCTTGGCCCCCCCCCCAATGCTGATGCCACTGGGCCCCCCCCCCCCGCGCGATGGTCCCCCCCGCCCCCCCCTGTGGGCGTGGCGTGGTGCTGCGCTGCCCCCCTCCGCCCCCTGTGGATGTGGTGGTTCAGAGGTGGGCGTGGCGTGGTGCTGCGCTGCGGTGCCCCCCTCCCCCCCCCTATGGATGTGGTGTGGTGCTGTGGTGGTTCAGAGGTCGTCGTCGTCGTCGTCGTCGTCCTCCTCGTCGTCCTCGTCGTCGTCGTCGTCCTCGTCGTCGTCGTCGTCGTCGTCGTCGCCGTCGTCGTAGTCGTCGCCGTCATCGTCGTCGTCGTCGTTTCTGGGACCATACCATCTGGGGGGGGGGGGGCCGAGGAATCCTGGGACCATACCATCTGGGGGGGAGGGGGGGGGGCCCGTGGGCCCGGAGCCCGGGATCATATATCTCCTCGACCTGTCCCCCAAGTGTGCCGACATGCCTGAGATAACCCAGGTATATCGACATGCCGAGGGCCCCCCACAGAGGCCGCCTATAGATCAGCCTAGTGGCACTAGAGTCCTAAGAGCACAGCGCGAGAGGCTTCCCCCAGGCCCACGAGGGCGCTCAGGAAGGCCGAAGAAGCCCCCACGCGATGGTCCCAGATGGCCTTGAGATGTCCCGAAGACCCTTATAGACGGTTTACAGGGCCCCGCGAAGCCCACAGGAAAAGCCAGGATGGCCCAGAGAGACCCCACGAGAGCCCAACAATGGCTTAATTTGGATCCCATGGGCGTCAGCATTGCTTTGATATGGCCCTCTTCTGCTTCCACGATGCGGATCACGAAGTTCGAGCCTCACAGGAACCCAGCAAACGGCTAACTTGGATCCCATGAGCTTAAAGAGTGCTCCGAGATGGCCCCATTCTGACTCCAGGACGTGGATCTCAAAGTTCGAGCCCCACGAAGTCACTTCAGCCTGCTTTTCGGCTGCATGCCCATCATCACAGACCACATCGTGCAGATGTCGTAGACGTAGTCCACGGGCCATCCCTAAGTAGTGATTGTCTACATCGTAGTACAGTCAAGACGCTGACAGAAAGACCACGTTGGGCTCTGGAGGGCCTGTACTTTTCGGCCCGCTCCATAGATCTATGTCCCGGGAAACATTCGTGGTCGAGTCTCGCCGAGGCCAAAAAAGCCCTGCCGTTCCCTTATGCAGCGTTACCCACGGTAGCACGATGATTGTACCATGATCAGCGCGTCTGAGATTGGTCCGACTCCAGATCGGCCCCAAGCGGCCTCGACACAACCCCAAACGGCC